TTTATTTCATAGAGATGAATATGCCGAAACGGATATTTGACCTTTCCACAAATGAATCATTAGGGTTTTCTGAAGGACAAACAAACAAATAAACATATGTTTCATTTCGTCAAGGTTTGTTTTCTACTGTATAACGATTATAATTAGATCAAACTGATCAATTGATAAAATCTTTTGATCTGAGAAAAATCATCCAAAGATTGATGAAAAGATTAAACCATTAACAAAGGATTCATTTATTAGTCGATAATTGGACATATCGAATATAATGGCATAAGTTAATCAGAATGAACTTTGTACGTTTAAACTTTATATGGCATTACTTTATAAGCAATTATTAGATCGATAAAGTTATACTGAAAGATTTGACTAAACCTTTCCAAAACATGCTAATAAATTGACACAAACAATGCTTTCACAATTAATTTTTCCACAAAGTAAGTTTTGGCAAAAGAGAAATTAGCAACCTAAAATGGTACCAGCAGGTACTAATAATTCGCGGAAATGGAAGAAAAGCCAATTGCAATTCTATTGTACACATAATGTGAACTTGTTTATCTCTATGCTATTGTCGCGCCTATTGAGCGGACATGGTGGTGACGACACGGTGATGATGGTAATGATGGTGGTGGTAATGATGATGATAATAGGAAGTTGAGGATAGGAAACAGTTGTATCCGTCTACTACTAAGAGGACAGAGGAGTAAAATGGAGATTGAAATAGGCCAGCTAGTTCAAATTGATTGTGAGGGAGAGGCAAACAAATGGACATAGAGAGAGCCATAAGTGGACAGCAGACATGGACAGGAAACGACAGCTGCAATGAAAAGGAGACAGACAGATGATAAATTGAGACAGGTGAAATGAAAGAGGGAAAGGAATTTCATTTCATTTCGAAGGGAAATATTTGGACTGATATTATTTTGGAAGTTAATGTTCAAACACTCTCTGAATTGATTGCTGTTTGGTTATAAGTGAAACAGAACACTTTGAAGATGGGAAAGAGGTGAAGAAGGATAAGGTGTGATATTAGTAATTAATGACAGTGAATAATTATGGGTGTTATTAGTGAATGCATATGTTATCGGTAATTAGAGGACAAATTTTTATCACAATTATGTATATGCTTTAAGAATAATGAATGAATTCGTTGAGATTAAAATTCAAAAATGAAGGACAAATTTGTTAATTTAGAAGAAAAAACTTGAGCATGGATTCTCAAACGATTATAAAATTTAATACGTAACCTCCTACACGTAAAATATTACTACAGTTTAGATAAAAATTAGATTTTAAATTTAATCAGTTGCAATTAGCAACCAAACTAAAATTATATTTAATTTATTCCCTAAATTTTTATGTCAATTTTGTTCATTTTACATTTTCCATTCTAATTTAAATTCGTCATTTTCAATTCAGGTTTTGATTGAAACATAATAATCGATAATAGTGTTGCTTAAATTTGTGATGAGTTTCCATATCAGAATGCTTCGGGTCGGCATCATAATTAAATAAATGATGAGATATCATAGAAATGATCAGACTGAAAGAAATTATATTCTCTTTATATCGCTGTTTATTTTTTAAACCAGAATTCGAGTAGAAAATATAAGATTTAAACTGGTTGGGAGAAACATTCTGTTATAAATTAGAGCGGAAAATTAACAATAAATTGAAAAATGTTAGTAAAATATGATCTAATTATTAAATCGCAGTCAAATTTAAAGTTTAATTTAAATCAGATCAAATAATCTCGTTTCTGATATAAATAAATTTTCTGAAATTGCTTTTATTAAATCAAGACATTGCTAATGAACCTAACAAATCAGTATTATATGATATCAACGATGTGTTAATGAGATACATAGCTGATAAGAGTGGTACTACATTTTATCATGGCTGAATTAGGTTTGCGGTGCTGCTAAAGGAGAGGCACAGATACTTATGATAAGGAAGGATCGATAATTACAGTAATGTTTACTTGCATATTTCGGGAAAAAGTCTTTTAATGATAATATATAATAATAATCTATAAATAAGACAGCTTTTTGATAAAGTTTATTCTTGAAATTTGCAAATCTGATGGATGTATTAGTTTAAAGAAATGCAATACAATTAGGAAAGATTTAACAACAAAACCGGTCAGTTGTTACTTATTTTTAATATTATCATTATCACTATAATTTAACCTGTTTTGTCCATTTATATTATCCCCCTCCTTTATCAGATAAACATTTTAATAGCATTACGATATTTCTTTTAATGAGTAACTTCTCTTCTTCTTCATATTTTCGTATTAATATTAACTTCACTTTTTCTTAATTGCAATAATTATAACTAAATCTGTCTTTATTTATTATTATTAATATTACTGTTATTATTATTAACATTAATAATTATTTTATTCCTCATAAGCTTCCTATAATTGATGAAATACATTAGAGTTTTGATATTCAACCAAGTGACAATTGGAATTGAACAATAAAATTTCATTGAAATTTTATTAAAAGATGAAGAAGAATCATGAAACAATACGGTACACTTTATTATCATTTCTGGATCACTAATAATAACAGTAGCGCTATAGAGTATAACAATCACAAAACGAAAGATACGATGTGGAACAATGGAAAAGATGAGCAGAGCACATAGCTGGATAATAAACAATGAAAGAGGTGGACATTGCTGGACAATAAACAATAAAAGAGGTGGACATTGCTGGACAATAATGTCTTAGCTATTATAATGACCGCATTTCCTTGCAAATATTTATGAAATGTTTTAGAACTAAAAAGGAAATAAGGATGATAAACAATTGAGAGAGGGAGAGAAAGAAAGAGCAAATGATCGCATACAATAATCATTTCTCGAGAAATACGTAATAACAAGTGTCGGAAGGTTCTAAATTCTGAAGGTGATTTGAAGGAGAACAATTGATATGTCAGCTATCGTCTTGATGAAATTCTCTCTCATTTAATCTCTCTCTCTCTCTCTGTTAAGTCCTTCAAGGGCGCAGAAATAATTTGCATAGATTATAACATACATAAATTTTCTTATTGTGACTACACCCATAAAGGGTAAACTGAAAGAAAAGGAAGCATTGCGACAGTTTCAAGAGTTGATGAATTTGCATAAAAGTGACAACTTAAAGTGCTATCTATTCCGGTAAATATTCGATTACAGTTGACTGTTTCATACTTCCGCAAACTGAAAGTAATAAAAGAAAAATAAAATAAAATGTTAGAATTATAAATGAACAAAAAATTTCCTTTTCCAAAGAAAAACTATTTGTAAATAATTCAAAATTAATTTTAAAATATTTCATTATAACATGTTAAAACACTAATAATCATTCATTTAGGGACAATTTTTTGTTCCAAGAAAGTTCGAAAATGCTATTCGTTGAATATCAATGTAAAAACAATGTATATCCATTCATCTTGTATTACTCGAAATTTTAAATCTCATCTCTTCTCAACAATTTTTTTCAGAATAATTAATATTTTTAGGTATTTTTACTCAATATTTTTCAGTCTTATCCGAAAAAGAAGCTAAATGTGACCGGTTATCTACTTAACAATAAGCATTCCGGTTTATCCTGATCAACATTTTTCGGAACGAGTTTAATAACATATTTGCATTTATATATGCATACACTGGTATGCACGTAGATGTGCATGTGCGTGTGCATGTATGCATGCCATGTATGAACGATAGAATGAATTATTTTTATATTTTAGGAAATTTACGCCAGACAGACGGGAGTATAATGAAGTGGCATGAAGTTACACAATCTAACCTCTCCACTAGGTGAATCTCAGTTGTCAGCTGAGAACTTGCCAAAGTGATATGTTATGCATCACACTGATGCTTATCTCACCTAATAGTGACAATTGTTTGACCTTGACAATAATGATAACATTTACTTCATTCCCTTATCAAATGTCATATTAACCACATTTCATACCATTATAATGCAGTAATACTAGCAGTGAGCATGTGACACGATGACAAAGGCTATTTTAGTAAGAGTGAGAAGTTATTCGATCGATTCAATCGAAAGAGACAAGAAATTGAAATTCCATCCAGTGATTTAGAATTGGAAATTCGAACACTGAAATCATACATTAAATGATACAGTAAGTAGCTGTAATAATGATAATTAACTTCAACTACTGCAATGATGATATCTGGTGATAACTACCGAAATATGGACTGCAGTACTGATAATAATCTAAAGCAGAAACATATTATCTTCATGTGATAAGTTATCATTGTCTCCTTGTTACCTAATGTATTAGATAAAATCTTTTGATAAAAGGGAAAAGAAATTAATCAGTTATTAAAATGAAAGTTGGAGAGAAAGAAGACTAACTGAATACTTCCTTAAATGTTTAATTCAAAGAAGATAGTCGAAATAATTATTTTAAGTGGAAACTGAGTGTACAACATGACATCAACTATGAAAATGAATTTCTGAAGAATTCAACTAAAAAATGACACTTATTAAAATATATTTTAGTTTTAAATACATTTTGAATGATTTTCAAATACCTCTCGAAAGTCATTATCAGCATTTCAAAGAAATACTTGTACATTTTATGCTAAGACAAAATATGTTTATGAATGGAAAATATCGGATGAAAATTGATACTATTTAAAATTTTTAGTAAAATTTAACAATTTTTTAATTAAGGTTCATTAATTTACTATATTTTATTCTCAAATGCTAAACCTTTTGATATCATCAAAAAGAAAGAAAAAACAAAACGAAATACAAATTTTTTAAATTGAATTATGCTAATTTATGAGGATACTTCAAATTTATATACATATCATAGTGATCTGTTCAGTCATTTTCTTACTTATCGAATAACGAAATGTGGTTAGTTTGATTAATGAGAGCAAAATGTCTGCTTCAGTTGACAGTGACAAGATCTGTTGTAGTTCAGCTAGCACTGCATACTAAATCGTTGAAATCGATGGCAGTAACAAAAAGAATGAATGATATGATGATAAGAGGAAGCGTAGATGCGTCACGAACGGGTGCTACCAATGCACCTGCAATTCAAACAAAGACAAAATCACTGTTAAAGCATTCGCCACAGACAAAGCTATCAACGAATCTTTCTTCGCAAGAAGATAGAAGAAAAAAGGAGCAAAGTGAAAAAGATGTCAATATCGCCGAGCTAAATAAGAATGATCGGGTCAATAAATGGTTAATTTTGGAACTTATCGGTAAAGGTGCATTTGGATGTGTTTACAAAGTTTGTCTTTTAATTCTGAACTAACCTAAATAGTTGACACCACATCACTGTCCTAAATTTTAAGAGCTTTGCCATATAACATGTCATATTTCATTATCAATAACAATTTTCAAATTCATTACAGGTTGGATATCATGGTGAACGGTATGCGCTTAAATTCGATCTCGGATGTTGTGCTGAAGTAATTATTGATTTTTATAAGTGCATTATTAAACAAACAATTATTAATTATCACGGAAAATTATTATGGAATGGATAATTATTGTCCACAATATTGTGTGATTTGATTCGTTTCGTGCTGATAATCGATAGTCAATCACTTCTGCGCTTTACTAATCGATAATCAGTCACTTCTTCATTTATCTCATCGCATTTTTGAGATTTTTGTTTTTGTAAATTATTTGCCGATGAAATCCGCTGAATGTATAACTAGTGCATGTCATGCATTCCTCGACCAGTGTTCTTTGAAAATAAATTTCTTACTTTTCAGTCAGATTTTAACTTTGAATTAATCATTGAAAAGAATAACCTAATTCTAATTCAGAAGCCATTATTAATCGAAAAGAATGTGTTGGAATTAGCAAGAAAAGCAAAAAGTAAACATATTTGCCGACTTATCGATTATGGAAATTATTTCGGCTTTGAGTACATTGTAATGACACTTGTTGGCAAATCGTTGCGAGTAAGTCTAAGAATCATTCTTACTCTTTTTTTTGTTCCAAAATTAAATTACTTTTAATAATATCAATTACTCAAAATTTTCCTTCTTTAAAATAATTAAAATTTTTATTATGCTAGGATATTCTAATAGAGCGAAAAAGGAAAAAGCTGTCTGCCGGATGTGTCATTTCAGTTGGCCTACAATGTGTCGAAGCAATCGAAGAACTTCATCGAGTGGGTTTCATTCATCGGTGAGTCAGTCTGCAAGGTGCTTTTAATATAAAGGATAGTATGATAATAACAGGATAGTGTGGTAAGAAAATAAAAGATAGTATGATAATAATGAATAATTTCAATTATTAAATCTGATGATATGGAAATACAGGTTTAAATCTGTTGATTATTCAATGCAAATGTTCATTTATTTATTATTAATATTATTATTATTTCTAATAATTTTTTTTTATATTATTATTATTTCTAATAATTTTAAAGTGATATAAAGCCATCAAATTTTGCTACTGGTCGAAATGATCTCTCACATGGTGTTCGGAAAATTTTCCTCATTGATTTTGGTTTGAGTTATCATTACATCGATTCAAACGATCAAATAAAACAAATGAAACGTGTACGTAACTTACATCTTCAAATCTCTCTTAATTATTAATTTTCTATTTTTTACCTATAAATTTCTACAATTTTTATCCAAAGTTAGAGCATGCAGAGTATCGGTTTCAAAGGGACATTACGTTATGCAGCGCTGGGATGTCATCGGCGCAGTCCACCAGGTCGTCGTGATGATCTCGAATCTTGGATGTATCAACAGATCGAGTTTACAAAAGGATATTTACCGTGGAAGAATCTGGAAGATGAACTAGCTGTTATGAATGTTAAAGTATATCATAGTTGTTTTTTTTTTTTTTAGAAAAAAGGTTTTAAAATTAGATAAATGTAATTTCAATATTTGAGTTCATCAATTAAAAATTTTTTTTTTTGCAGGAGGCAGTTCGAACAAACGATGGTATGCAAAAGTTGCTAAAATCTTGTCCAAAAAAGTATATGGAAATAATGAAATATATATGCAAATTAAAACACACAGCGAGACCAGATTATGATCTTATTTATAAGGTTTCATTTTACTAACATCTAAATTTTAAAGTATAAAATATTCTATTTCAATTATCAATAATTTTAATAACGTCGGACAAAAAAAGAATAAAAAATTTGTATTCGTTGCAATTAACAGAATTACTAATCATTATTTCTCATTTGTTATTGACAAAAATAATTGCACACATAATTTCTTCAACAATATTCATTAATAGTTAAGTTAATTAATAACTAAATTAGTACCGAAATAGAAATATCATCGAAAAAGTAATGCAACCGATGATTAATACATTTCAGTTACTTCGAAAAATTTTATTTGAAGCACGGCTGCAAGAATATCCGTATGATTGGGAATATGAATCATTGAGATATTTCCGTAAAAAATGACATCGATTTGTTTTTTGATCAATAATTTCTGGATGCTATCAACAAGTTTTATCATACTTTCATTTCGCATAAAATATTAAAACTTTTCATTTTTTGCAAGTTTCAGTAGGGTGAAAAATAATTTTATTATTAACGAACTATTGATTTGAAAGTAAAAGGTATAGTCTAAAATGAGCAGGATTGTCTGGTCATTAACCCAAACTATCAAATGTAATGCTAATAAATTAGAGCAATTTATTATAGTGAAATTAAATTTAGAAAATTTTTATCTCACTACATTTTGGTTTAATAAAATTTAACTTCTAAAGTAAAGTTAATCAATTAAAGGAAAATTAGAAATGTTAAGGAATTGAAAATTAATGGACAATCTAATAACCATTTTTGGTCATTTGATAGAAATTGAAATATGCATTAAAGACAGATTTATTCGATATTTTTCCTCACTGTTTGTCGTCAATAGCATCGAATTAGTTAAAATGAGATAAAAGTAGAAGAAAAAAAATAATAAAAGTTTAAACTTGTATTAGCCAAAATGAGAACAAGGATTTATCAATTTAGAAAATTACAATATGTGCAGAAATATTATACATATGTTATCAAAAATGATAACAAAGTTAAGAGAAGTGAGCCAGTATACTATCCAGTCCATCAACTCATTTAATCATTGCTTATGTGATTAGAAAATAAAAGTAACATTAAATTCTTTTCCTTAACGAACAACAAAACAATTTAACGCAGTACTTGGCTCAATTGTCGCACGTACATCGTTATGTTATAATTGTTTGGTAAAAGGGAAAAATAAAATGAGACAAAAAAATGCATAATTTCAAGGTCAGTTCAGAAGCATCTGGTCACTTTAATAGTGCCCAGTCAGCCTGATCAACTAGCACATGAGTCCAAAGAAATATTTTTTTTTTCGCTACAAATAAATACTTTTATTCTTAGGCTCAGCAAAAAAAACTTAATTTGAATAAACGCTAATGCAAAGAAGCTTAGATCGTTTCATTAGCTGCAATTACTTTAACTAATGAATTATTTTGTGTTATATTTAAAATATATTTCGTGGATTGATGAAATTCCCAGTTCCAATGACCAATCAAAAGGTCATTTATGCTCTTATGGTTGTTGGCTGTACTTGACCTTGCTTGAAGACAAGAATCCAATTCTAGCATTAAGTGTTTGTCTTCGAAAAAGAAAAATTATGTTTCAAAATAGATCATACATTGATCAAATTTCAGTTATTACTTACTCATTTTAACACTTAAACATTTATTCCAGGGTCTTAAAGAGAAAATTTAGAAGATGAAGTATAAGTGAAATTATTTCAGAATTAGCATAATTTTAGGTTAAATTTAATCGATGGCATTTGCTGGATTCAGTTAAGATTCTTCTACTTTTATTCAAAGTATCACAATGAGGAAATAATTAAACGTCGTTTAATTTAACGCCTATTTGTTTAATGAAATGAGGTAATTATACAACGTACAAATAGTTGTGTATTTGATTGATCCATTAATAATCTCTGTTATTAATCTTTGCGTCATTATTACAAACATATCATTTTCATATTATTCCATAGCAGATATTTAATTAAACAAGTAAGCATTAAATTTAAAAAAAAGTTTTTCATTTATGGACAAATTTTATAAAAATATATGGACGATTAAATTCTACAAAATGGAAATAAATTATTTTTGAGAAATGCAGCATGAAAATTATTCCTTAAATGAGATAATGGAGTTAACTACTAATTACTGTTTAATTGTGTTAGAAATAAAATCGAATATTATTAGCTTTAAAGCGCTATAATTTTGTCATTTTTAGTCTAATAACTTGTCTAATTGCCAGAATAATTGTTATAAAAGTTTGAAGTTAATGAAAGTATTGTTTGTATTATTAAGTAATTAAGTTTGCGTAGATTTAAATTGCAGAAATGATGAATGTGATCCATACAATAACATAAATCATAAATTATAAGTGATAACTAATAACTTTACAGCATCCGATGCGTAAAATTTTAATAAAGTCTCATTAATGTGATAAAACAATAATGATGCTTACGTATCGAATACTATTTGATAATAATTTGTTATAAAATTTTAGAAACTTACAAGTGACAGATTTTTAAGGATAGATTGATTGGTTCAAATTCATTCAAAGTATTTATTAGCTCAAATTGTCGCAATCATAGTTTATTTTCAGCGTTTGATGATATCAGTAATTTTTCATGAGAACAACCTTTTCTACCATCTAAATATTTGAAGATTGATTTTTCATTTGTTAATTGATACGTTGATGAATCAACTTTTGTCTTCACTTTTTCAAATATCTCATTTCACAATATTTTTTGACACTACCAATAATCGATATGGCCACTTTCCGCCATTATAATCTGTTACTGTTACGAACTTCGGCTTCTGGAAATTAAAAAAGTTGGTGAAAAGGCCATTAGTTCACTTATAAATTTAATGATTGAAATGATTTCTTCAGTCGAAAAAAGACTGAAATATTCATTGCGCATATGAGATGACAATAATCGGAGCGCAAATGACGAATGTTAATCCATGTTGTTATTATCTTACATTCCATTTTATTTTTTGCTTTCATCTTCTACAATTGAAACTTTTCACCGTTTATTTTTTAGCAATCTGTTAGAAAAGCTTTCAATAATTGAAGCAATTATGGATGAAAGTCATTGTCCTTTGTGCGAAATGAATGATTTATTAATTATGCAAATGACTTTAAAAAAAATACTTTAAGCCTAATTATTCATTAGTTTTCGCCATATTTAATTTTCTTGTTGCAAAAGCAAATAGTTCATCTCAATTCTTAAATTAAATGATAAAGTTTTACAGAAAATATTGATTTAAATGATTAGCTAACCAAAGACTAATTGTAAATACAATATTATTAATTCCTGATGATGACAATACCGCTTAATGATATGAGGTCAACTTCTAAAATATAATGTTTGTGTTTATTTCTCCTCATTCACCCTTTGGTTCAAATTATGAGATGACAATTGTTGACTGCAAAAAATGAAGAATATTGCAAAAATATGGCTGAATTGGTGTAAAATTAGAGTGGATAAGTCAACAGAATAATATTACCTCTTCACCTGTTTACCTTCATCAACAATTCTTTTCAAGATGAAGCGCACTTTGCTAAGATTATTTGATACTATTAACTTCCCTCTCATCAGCTACCTCTATAACTTTTCTCTATTCTCATTTTATACTCACTTATCTACTTCCAAATATTTTTAACATTTGATTAATGATGTTTTAATTAATTTAACTGGAATAAAACTGGTAATAGAGACACGAAAATGAGATAAATCCATTTTTATCTTAAGTATATGACATTTCATCTACTTTAAACTTAAAATTATATAGTTTAATTATATGCATGCAATTAGCATGTAATTCTAATATCATACTATCATTATCAATGCAAAACAGTTAGATTTGTTTCATTCCTTCGATTCTATTTATTTACTTTACATCCTCACTTACTACATCTAGGAAACAGTATTAATTCCAACTCAGACAAATTTCGGATTTCATTAAAATACAGTTGGATAGTTTGGTTTCCTTGATTCATACGGGAACTAATTGAAAACATCATCCGTTTTTCATCTGTCAGAGTTAGTGCTGAAGAAAGATATAGTATTAGCCTTATCTTTAGTACCATAAGTGATATCAAACAATTGACCTGCTTAATGGACTAGTAAATTCAGCCTTTATGCTCAAGAATAATTGTTAAACTGTAGTTTCTTCCTCCAAAGAATAACAAATTGCCAAAAAAAGAATCAGAAAAAAAAATCCGATATCTGGGAGGGAACAACACATCCATTTACGGTTAATGACATTTTCCATCAAACCGGTCCCCCGCATCATTCCTTCCCGCATTCCACCGTACTGTTTTCTGCTGTCCTTACGATCTTGTTTATTTATATTTGCGACATACCTGTGTGCCTGTCGCTTGCGCCACTCTCTGCTATTTTCTCTTTCTGCTTTGTAAAACAAAAATGCCAATAAAAAACAAAAAAACAAAATGATAATTTTGTTGAAGTTATGTCTTTTTTTCTTTTCATTTGTTTTAATGTCATTTTACAATCAACAAAATGTTTATACCTGCATGTATACTTTTCTTGTTGTTAATTGATTTTCACCATTTATGCTTTAATGAATATTTAATTAGCAATGGCGTTACACGTATTTAGCGTAAATGATGTATGCCTATATACATCTGTGCAGATCCGACCGAATTTTAATGCGTTGTATTTGTGAGTTTGTCTTTCCTCAGTTTACTTATTTACATAAGTTTTTTCCATTACAATTAATTAATCTATAAATAATAATGTATCGAAGAACATCCATTAGTATTCATTTATTAATTTTTTTCACTCAATATTCTCTCTTTTCCTCTCTCTCTTCCTTTGATGTGAATTTCATTTAAAATGAGTGACATTTGTAGCTTTTTAAGCAAAATATTTTTTGTTGTTATTTAATTAATTAACTTTTCTTCACAAAATAATTAAATTTCCTGCAATATATCTTATCAGCTTATCAGCCTCTTATCAGTCATTTTTTTTCTTTTTTGATAAGGATTTATCTGAAATGAGAATGTGGAATGGTTTACTGAGAAGAGAGAGTGTGCTAAATGGTGCTTGTATGGTTAAAATGTGAACGTACGATAAAGACAAATTAAGGATATTAGAAAGGTAAAAGAAAGGTCAAAGGATTGATTTTTAAAATAATTTATTGGCAGATGAATTTGAAATCAATGATATACTGAAACAGCAGCGAATAAATAAAATTTATTAAAGTTAATATAATTAGAATTTCAGCTCAGCTAGGAATAAATTTGATAGTTGAATGGAAAATTTGCGGTCAATCATAGCGAATTATTGAATAGGTAGAAAATTCCGTCCCTTCAAAGTTCACTCTTTGATGTTTTCTTTCTTTCTTCACCTTTTTTTTTCAAATAGAATCTGCTCAAACAAGGAAATTCATTTGACAAAAATTGATTGAATTGACGCAGCTATTTTCAACATAAAGCATAAATAACATTTCATTTTCTCTTTTCAAATATTCTAAAAAAAGAAATAAATTTCAACATTTAATTATTTTTTTTATTAAATTTTTTTTTGGAAATTAAATTTTCCTTATTTTTTTTAAATATTAAATTTTTTTTAGCATTAAATTTTAAAAAACGATATTAATTGCATTCATATCGTGAAATGAAGAAATCGCAAAGTATTCTTAGCATATGATTAGCTTTCAAATTTTTTTCATCAAATTACTCTTTACTTAATGCAAATCAATTTTCTTGCGCAGTGACTGTTTAAAGTTATACTTACTTACTTATGTTTACGTCACCTGAACACTAATTAATTAGTAGTGCAAAAAAATTTCAACTGTCTAAGATATATCATAGGTAAGTTTACTATTCGGATGAAATATGATCTTAATTAATGAATTAAATGATTGAAATGATGAATGAAATTGATAAGTGCTTTCAAATGTCCTTCGCAGTACAAAATTGAATGAAAACCTTCGCAAGTAATATATACATTCTCTACTGAACAATTACTCTTTTGATGATTTAAATTACTGTGTCAAATGCTGCGTATTACTACGTCAAATTCTACGTACTTTCATGATTAAGAAATTATTTCTATAATACAATTTAATGCTTCAAACTTGACGTACAACAAAAAATGTATGCTAGTTTTTGGATCTTAACTAACTGATATTTTGAGTTATTTAATATAGCATTATTATTTTATCTTGTATAAATGATTTTGTTAATAAATTATTATTAATTTGACATACAAATTATAAATACAAGAATTAACAAAAATATTAAAATTAACTTTATCTATGCCATTAATATTGTCTACCACTTGTCCGTCCTTTCATTTTTTGCTGTTATAATTGAGTGAAAAATTAATTGGTTGGTTAAATTTTACTGTTTAGTAATCAATTAAATAATTACATGACATATTATTCATCGCGAAACACAAACAAAATATTTCAATGAAAAAAGAACGAAAATTTTAATCCGAAAATTTTTCATTTCTACTGAGATTTTAATTAGATCTCTATTGCATTCTTCTCATTTTGCTGTCAACCTCCTCCCTTTTCTCATTTCATTTTTCCTTTTTTACTCGAAAGAATTTTAAAACTTAAAATCTTAGAGATTTTATCGTAATTTTTGTTTATTTTTTTCAACTATTAATCAAATTACAAAAACTATTATTAATGAGAGTAAAAATTAAGGACAATTGAATGATTTGAAAATAGTGGAATGAATAACTGGTTATTTTCAATCATTTACACGTAAATCTGGAAAGGCTTGAATTTCAATTAACAATCTCATAAACAAGCGATAATACACAGGGAATTAAATACGAGTAGAGTTACTTTTGAATAAATGGAACTAATAGCTAGAAATTATTTCTGATATAAATTAAATTTAAATTTTATTCCAGTTTACAAAAAATTGCAGATAAATATGGAGGAGACGGACAAATCATCTTCAGCTTCAGCATCATCTCGTTCAATTCCTGCATATCATCGAGGAAATGGTACATTACGTGGTGGTGGTGTACAGAAACTATACCATACCGGACCGGTTAGCTCCAAATTTTATTTATTAATTCATTTTTTTAAAAAGTTCTTTCGATTTTTTTTTTTAGTAATACAAATTGGAACTTTAAAAATTTAAGTAAATAAGGCATATTTTCAGACATTCAAAGCATATAAACGAAAATTGGATCATCGATTGGGATACTGCACTGTTGGCTGCCTGATCACAGTTGCTGTCGTGTTGACAATCTTCGGTTTATTTCATGAAATGGCACATCAAGAATTAACGCAATATATTGAATCGATACGTGAAATGATCATGAATTCAATACCTTCTAGAACACTACCAAGTACGACTACTGTTGCTGATTTATCAGAAATTACTTCTACCAACGATGACGAAATCTTACTTAATGATGATTGGTTAGATGGTAAATTCAGCTAAATTTTAATTTTCTAAATATTTAAACACAAACATTTTTTGTGAAAAATTTTCGAAATTTCACGAAAAATGCTTACAAATTATTTTTAATTGTTATAATAAAAAATAAAAAAGAAAACTCTTTTCTATTTTTTTCAGTCTTTGTTTATAGCATTCAGATATGTTATCATTTTTTAGCATTTTAATTTGATTTAATCTGAAATGAAATAATTCGAAATATTCTAGCATTAGTGTGCATCTTATACAGATGTTCGATCTATGATATTGTTTTTCTATGAGAATATATGAGATAATTGATGAAAAAAGATCGGCGAAAATAGAAAAATTGTACAGATTAAATGATAAACTGATAATTGAGTTATCACTTAGCTATAATTTGACTATATTATTCCACTATTAGTTTTAATTTTCTAGTCAAACCAGTGAAGTTTCTTTTTTCTTTAAGAAACTTTATTTGATAATGAAACAGCATTGCCGATGGAAATTGTGATGGAAATGGCGAAGTTAGAGGAACAAGAAGTTAAACTAGAAGAGGACAATGTACCGGATGAGAAGATGCTAAGCATTCCGTACAAGGAACCGGAAACTTGCTTTGGTTCTAAAGATGTGAATAAGGAAAAATGTTTAACAGTTACCGAACTTGACGAATATCACAATGTATTACTTAAAGTATGTCATATATTTTATTAGTTTTTAATATTTCATAATTCATCAATGTTTGGAGTTATAGTCGAGCAAATTGATAAGGATGAATTCATTGATGAATTTCTGAATCAAATTCTTTCTCAATCAATTATTTAAATTTATTTTATTGAAAATAACCAATTAAATTTGATGCTTCTTTCTATTACTTTTGTTTTCTCAAATAACGAAAGATATTTCTATTATTTTCAAAAAATTTTTATAGTCATTAATTTATGTAATAAAAGTTCTATCAGTTATCGATTGAGCATTGAAATACGTTGATCATATAATTGCACCAACAAAGTATTCCGTTAAGAATAATTCATTTAGGTCTTTTCCAATTAATGAAATTAATTTCAGTCACATATAGCTCTGTGGAATTTAATTACTGTCAATATTATTGTTGCAATATTCCTTTCACCAATCACATTTATGTTCAATTCCGAAATTATCAAAAATCAGTATTACAAATTATTTTATCGTGTAAGTACTCATTTAATTAACAATTAATTATCTTTACCTAATTATTAATTAAATTATATTTGTTTTATAATAATAAAATAAATAGAATTTTTCATAATTCAGATTATCAATTATCAATCGTTGGAATTTGTTCCATAAGGTAAAATTAACCATTTAATAACGATATACAATGAAAAAAAAAAATGTCAAGTTGAAATTTATGGATTAAAAAAAAAATTTATAAGTAAATATGAATTATTGAAACTTTAAATGGAAACAATTTACTTTGTTACATTTAAATCTAAGCAAATAGTTAATCAAAATAGAATTTGTATCTACAACTTACTTTCATGATATGAAAATTATTTATATTTCAATTTTTTTGCTCTTCCACAAAACTTTATTCATTTCAGATTGTTCTACTCTTGGCGCTATTTTTTATGGCTATACAATTAATTATACTAATTAATCCATTACTGTACAGTTCGTTCATGTACCCTACTATCGTTGACAAACTTTTTGTTGAAAAACTTCCACGGTTAATGCTTTCAGTGAAATTAAGAAAGGAATAACAGCATATTATTGCTTAAGTTTCAAAATATTATTGCTTAAAAAGTTGTACCAATATTTCCGGATTTGTTTTTTTCCGATAAATTCTGGAATTGCTTAAAACATGCGAAATCTTTTTACTTTCATATTTCAAATTAATGATCAGCTTTCAAATAAATAGATAGCAAATCAATTCTTTTTATTATCGGGAATTAGGAAAAGAAAAACATTTTGGTATAATATAAAATTGGGAAAAAAAGAAATAAATTTGAATTAATTTTAAAATAGCTTCCAAAATTACTGATTTAATTTAGGGAGAAGAAACTGATTAACCAAGTGGAGTTTCGATTTGCTTGTCAATTTGATTATATTAGCCAGTTGGTAGAACTTAATTTACAGGTAATCAAGTACTTTTTTTTACATCATGAAATGAATCAATCGATACAAAGTATTATATTCAAATTTATTCTCATTTCTTCAAATATACCTCTTTTAAATTTGACACAAACTGTTTTATTCTATTTAATATATTTCAACTAAAATATTTCTAAACATGTCAGTGATTATTTCAGAAGCCATGCATTCCTCGGATCAAGAATGTCCTATTGTTACCGTATGCAGTAGTGTTATTGATCATTATTGATTTGTTACCATTTCTATTCATATTTTTCACCTATGCTTGGGATAGATGGCTTAAAGATTCGTTCCTTTGCAGTATCGCTAGGAGTCGCATCGAATTAAATAATCAGCGAAGGTAAATGCTATTATTCTATGCTAAGTTGGCTGTGTTACCTGTTGAAAGATGGGTTGAGTTAGGCTTTGTTGAATAAAAGTAAAATTTAGATTATTATTTTACAATATTATCTTTTTTTTTTGGTACAACAAAAGGAGCATAGGTCAGTGATAGATTTAACAGTAATTGTTGCTTCTTCTGTTACTTTCTTTTGAATTCAACCTTTAACATTATCCATAAGCCGTTTTGTTCATTTTTACTTCAATTATAAATTTAACTTTTATTTGATATTTTAAAAATGTTAAAAATTCATCACACTTTTTCATATTTTATAGACCGCAATCACGTGAGGATATTTTGAAGAAAACAATGGAAGAACCACATTATTTGTGATATTTCAAAATATTTTAAAAAATTTCAGACAAAATCATTTGAATTTTCTCTATGCTTTCAATTTTCTTAACATTATTTTCTATTTTCGATTGTAAACGGTTTATAAACTATGACACACTGATACTTATATTTCTTTTTGTGTTCAAAGATTTCCAATCAATTTCGATTCTTTTTGATGCTTTTACACTTTATGAATGCTTTTTGCTGAATAATCACCAACATTTGATATGAGATAAAGACCATTTTTCTTTATCACTGATTAAAAATAGGATTTCATAGTTAGAGGATTTCTCATTTTAAATTATCCTTATTCAAACAATTGAAGTTGAATACTTTCAAGATTAATTCAAATCAATTTTATAAATTGTAAAGCTGCTATATTACAAATATAAATTTCAAAAATTAATTAACTCATTTAAAATTACAAAAAAAAAAACTTTAAAATAGCTATCGAAGAGGATATTTTGAATGGATCATTTATAAATATAATCAAAAAAAAAAAAAGTGAAAGCTGATTGAAAACGAAAACTGTTTGAATTAAATTCAATTTTGATAAATAATCAGGAAGAAAATGTTATCACATTAAAATTTGGTAAAGGTTAAAACAAACTGCTTATTATTTCTTCCTTTCAAGGTCATATTATCATCATTTTCTGCCATTGTTTCTATCAATTCCGGAATAGAAACCGGCTTTCAATTACCGGTTTCTTTCAGTAAAATATATTCAGAGTACTTTCTTTCATTTTTCACATTTAAATTAATTGTTTCAGTTTTCGAATTCAGTTGATTATATTACGCCATTACAGTCTAACCTTAATAGGTTCTTTTTTCATAAATCTCGAAATTAACAAATATTGATTTAATTTCACTCTAACAGCAACTATTTCATTCTCCTAAAGCTATCATTTTTATTTTTTGTTCCTCGAAATGTCATTCATATAAATATTATCAGTCACAAAGCCTTTGCTGATGAACTGTTATCATTTATTTCAAAATGTTCATCAATTCAACGAACTATCAATTTCTTTTTCTTTTCCTATAAGTAAATAAAATAAATAGCACTGAGTGCTATTTATTTTATTTATGTTATCACATGTCAGTATCAAACAATTTTTTGATAAATGCCAAAAAATAATTAATTTTCCTTTTATTTTGCTAAATAAATTTTTGGAAGCATTATTTGTATTAATTGTTTTTATTTAAATTATTCTATATTAATAATGAAAACTTTCAAATTTTTAAATGAGATCAAATGTGTCTAATTGATTTAATATTTATTATGCTGTGTGATCATCAGATCTATCCAATTATCCAATTCTGCATAAAACAGATTGTTGATCTGTTAAAGTAATAAAATACACAAAGTTGCAGTATCAAATCAGAGGTCAAAAAATTTACTGATATTTAACAATTACTTTCGTTATTTCAATTGCAAAAAAAGATTCATTCACAAATAATAATCTTAATCTTTTGACGAAACCTTTTTTTTCGATTCTTTTTTTTTTTTTAGATTTAAATCATTCATAAGTACAAGAATTAATTTATGTTACTTCTTCATTTTTTTGATGGTTTGCAAATTAGAGAAATAAGTAAAAATTAATTAGTTGAGCATTGAGATGACATTTATGTGTCATCACGTGCTTTTGTACCATTCTCGTCATTCACCAACTCACATTTTTACCTTATTTGATTGTTCAGAAGGTTCACAGATATTCCTTTCAAAAATTGCGGTAATTATGGAACAAAATTGAATGTTTCAATTTTCTCAAATATATAAATGCCATGCTGTCATGAAAATTAAATAAAATACATATGAAACAATAAGAATTCCTTAAAAGTTATTCCGAAACAAAAGAACAGAAATTTTGACAGATGAAAATAGAAATTTGATAAAATATGTTATTTTCAAGAGGGAGTGTGAGATGCTATTTTGGAGTGCTCTTGCTGATTGCATTTAGCACTTAGAACTAACGTTTCAAACAATGAAATTGATAGATTAGCGGTGCAAGAAGCAATGCAACGTACGCTGCAGTAACAATGAGATTTGTTACTGCTTGAAACTGAAAAAGAAACAACAAAAATCGGAACATTTGATTTATTTCGATTTAATATATGTTTGAACTGAAAATTTGTTTCCATCAGAACTAATACATCAAATGTGCGTTCCCGAGTACTGAAACTTTCGTAGGCATATCATAAACAATCCTTTGAAGAAAAGTAGATGAGTAATGCAAAACAAGTCGATGAATCCAAAATTTCCGGACTACGTTTTGTATTTTTTCAGAAAAAAATATTGTGTATTATCAATATTTTAATTTAATAGTTAAAACATTGATTTTCAAATCACAGTGTAATTAAAACATTTTTGAATGCCGCAGTTGAAATAAAGATTGAAAGTTTAAATTTAAAAAGAAATTTGAACTTTAGAGAAGCGGTGAACGGTGAAATTTTGGTTCCCTAAATTGTACTTTAAAAAGGAAATTGAAATAAAAAGAGTTAAATTAAATGAATTGCAATTGTTACTACTTTCAAATCTCAAAATTACTCTTTTTTCATTGATAACTTCTTGAGAATAAATTAATTTACTCCAAATCCTCTATAAACATACAATATATATAATTCCATCACGTTGACAAGTTTGAGACAATTGGATATTTACTGTGAAAGTAAAATCACTAAGACTTCTTAGGGAAAGCCTTTGTGTGTTGTCCGTAGGCAATTAGCAAATTATCACCTTTTCGACGAATTTCGGCACGAGTATGAGCCAATTTCGCGTTGCTATGCAACAAAGTACCATTCACAACGATCGTGTCACCAAGTTTGGCACAATTTGGATACCTATGTTAATATGGCATTGGTAATTAAGCATAATAAACAGAGATAAAAAGAAAGGAGAATCGTTATTTCTGCTCTTTTCAGATAAGAATGAAAAATGCCATTTGCTTATTTCAAATATTATAGATGAAAAGATCAAATCTGCTGATATATTTTTAATTTGATTTAATAATTTATGTTAAAATTCAACAAATAAATACTTAAATGACAAACAGTAATAATTGTATTTTAAGCACAAATAATTTTTGAATTTTATGAAAAACTTTACGAATAAATAAATTAGTTAATTAAACTAACGACATATTGAGGTTGATCGAAACGCCCAGGTCACCAATTTTACTGCTCATTATTGCAACCGATGTGACCATATCAACAAGTGTAGCTAAGCAACCCTCATGTAATTGTCCTGATGAGTTCAAGTGCGCATTTGTCACATCCATTTCAACTTCTACAGTTCCTTCATTCACAGATGTCACGCGGCACTAAATTATGGACAAAGAGAAAAATTACTTTTCTAGCATCTAATATGAACTGAATTGAAACATCAAGACTAATTTAAGTTTTAAATGAAATCTAGGAAAAGGAAACTTTTAAGTTCTGAATTAAATTTAAAAAACAGGAAACTATGAGGATTTGGAATTCAGAAAAATGTATTGAAGAATAAGAAAGTGGCAAAAATTGTTCGAAACGACCTACTTAGAGAATTATGCAATTATCTGTGAAAACTTTATTTCAAATTCTTGCAATTTTGGATTTTTGGATTCGAAAAAATTATAATCCTTATAAATTATATTTCAGCAAAATATTTAACATTTCCTAACGAAGTAATTTAATGATAACAACTAATATGTAACTTACAGTGCGAACGAATCCAGAAAATTTATCAAATGATTTGAAAGCTTTTGTTGCCAATTGAAGATATTTGTTAGCCATGCCAATAATTTAAATAAAATCTAGAAAAAAACTACGAAAATTCGGAATTTAGATGGAAGATGATGAAATTAATCGAATAAGAATGCTTGATTAACCCCAAACAACCGGAAAACATAAAAGCTCGTTTTGAAATTAACCATTATTTCGTGCTATTTCCATAATTTTTTAATAAAATATTAATTTTAGTGATTTAATAAAATTTGATTTTTAAGCTACCAATCAAAATGACTATTAACATATTTAACAAAATGACTACTAATATTTAATATATTTAAGGATTGGTTTACCTTTTTATTACAACAATTTTTCCAACATAAAATCATCCTATGGCTGCTACAATCTTCGTCATTTAATAATTAAATTATCATTGTCCTTTTCAAATTTCAATAAAATGATTAAAAATTTAAGCACGAAAAGTTTTTTGAAGAGTATATACAAGATTTCAAGAAATTATTGTCGGCAATGATCGACTGTACACAAAAGAATTAATTTTAGAGGCTTTATTTTGCTTTTAAAAGTTTTAGTTATGTAATCAAAATAGAAGGACACAGAAGACTCTTGAAAACTTTTCGCCTATTTTAAGTACTGTCACTATTATAACTAAGTTTTTAAAATTTATCGAAAAATTTCACATACTGAATTTTTTTTCTAATTTGAAAATATCGCAGTAAAATATCTATTGTAAATATCAGTCATGATATTCGCAATGACTTATGGTGCATTTAATGAGTATAATTCTTTAAGGGAGAATCTGGGAATCCAGAAAAAAAAAGCTTTAATTATGTCCCAAATAATAGAAACAATTAAGGAAAATTAATTTATTTCATCATACAATTAATATTTTCAGTGCATATAATTAATTGTGAAATAGTTTTAAAAATTTCAAATCAAATTGTGATATCTTAGGAAGGAAGTTTAATTTCATATGAAAACTGCTTTATTTGCAAGAAATTGTTGTCGACGTTCCTTTTTCTCAGCTTGTTGTAATTTCTTTTCTTCTTGTTCAGCTCGAATTTCTTCTTCAAATCTGCTCAGTTTTGTTTGTTCTTCGATCTTAAAAAAAAAAAAAAAAAAGCAGAAATAAATATTAAAAATGTCAAACAAAGTATAAAGCTATTAAAAAACAAAGCAAAACAAAAAAAAAAAAAAAGTACTGAGTAAATTGCTGTACTTATTGCAATATATTTATTTGAGTATCATAAGTATAAACAAATTATTTAAATAAATTTAACTTTATGAAAATGTTATAGAATAATCTAATCTTTTTTCACAGAATAATGAAAAAAGACCAAAAAAAAAAAAACTCTCTAAATGTCAAAATTTTTAAATCCTTCATCAAATTTCCAAAAAAAAGGAAATAGAAACCTTAGCTTCGAAGAAATCAGCAGCAGCATGCACTCCCTGCTTGACAACATCTACTGATGCAGCTAATTCATTAAAAACTTTTGCACAAGACAGTTGACCGGTTGATGCATAACGAAATATAAGCATGAACTCACGTGGACTTACTTTACCATCCTGATCTTCGTCTACCTAAAATGTTTAAGACATTCATGACAAATCTGATGAGAAATCTATCAACAACAAATTTTGTATCCTAAAGAAACTAGGAACTATTTGTTTTGATTTCTGATTTGATATATTTATATTCGGGAATAGATCAATCAATTAATTAGTCTGTTTTAAAATACTATCATTTCTCGGGAAAAGTTTTCAAATAACAGTTAAGGATTTACTTTAAAAATATAAACTTTACCAGTTTGAGCATATTTTTTAGTGCAATATGTGTTTGTGCTTCACCCAATTTCTCCATCATTCGTTTCAGTTCATTAAAATCGATATAATTATCGTTATCCTCATCATATCTGTTATTTTACATGCAATAGTTTACAACCTTTCAACAAATGTCACCTATGATTGTTGACGAAAAGCGCCAAAATATTTGGTATAATTGACAACAACTCATTTATGAAATGAAATATTCAGGATGAAAGAAAAAAAGAAAAACTCAACTGCACAATGATTTAAAGAATATACAGCCCAATTTTTCTTTTAAAAAAATAAACATACATTTGGTACATTAAATCTCGAAATAACTCATAAATTTTGATATTTGAAGTTTAAAAATATGATTGAAACTAACTTTTTAAATGTTTCCATAAAATATTTTATTTGTTTCCGTGTAAATTCATGAAATTCAGAATAGACAGAAAGTTTAGGAGGCTTTGCTTGCTCTACTGGTTCACCTATAATTAATTATAGAATAATGGTTAATAGTCATTCAACTCATTAATTAAAAGAAAAAAAAAACGTAAACAATAGTGAATAAGGATAAGGCAGAGAATGAAAAAGATAACCTTCAGCGATCATATTCCTTCTGGCTAATTTAGCAGCTAACTCATCATAATCGTTACTGAGAGATGATTGAGAATTTGTGGAGCAAGTTGGCGAATTTAGCGACTGATTCATATTTATCTTCAAAATATACTTTTATTAATTTGTTTCCATCAAAAGTCTTTTTAAACGAACACAACAATTAGATGAAAATATTGAAAAGAATTTTAAAATCAAAAAATCAGTTTATCAATGAGCTAGTTAATCTTAATTATCTAGAAGGCAAACTTATCATTCTTTCCAAATTTGATAAAACATTCTAATATTTAACTACTTTTACTATGTCATTAATTGCCAATGTACGAGAATTAATTGATGAAAAACAAGAAAGAAAGAAAGATAATCGTACTTTGCATGACTAATACAATGATTCATACAATGACAGAAAGAAATTATCATTTGTTTCGTTTTTTTTTTTTTTTGCTTTTCCTTAGATTTATAGATTTCAATGAATTATTCTTCATGCACCAATTCCTTTTTATATATCGAAATTAAAATTTAACGAAGCAAGTGGAATTATTTGGTTTACAGAATGTCAGCTTTCAAGATGTATAATTGGAAATATTAACTACGAATGAAAAAAACATATTTAGATTGTTAAAAATTGAATTTCAAAAATATAAAATTTGATAAAAAAGACATCATTACTTTTGCTAGCACACCTTTCGTCTTGAAATCGTTGTCATATAATTTTCAGGAAACAAAAATGATTTAACTAAATGATTACAATAGTAAAATGTAAGTATGAAGCAATATCTATTATATTTAAATCAATGGATCGGTTTTTAAAAGAGATGAAAGAAGAGGAAATAAATTGTTGAGCGGAAAATTAAATTGATTTTTCCTCAAAATGAGTATATCTCACTATGAGTAACAAGGATTTCTTCTTTTTATATGTGTGAGGACGATTGGAATGAAAATCGAACAAAATTATAGTCAGTAGCATTTGTCAATAAGCTACTAGCAACTAAAACCAAATTGGAAAATTGCTATAGCAGCAATAGTATTTTCTTGCTAAAAAAGTATTGAATCATTAAGATATGACGTAATTAAAAATGAAAGGATGGAGGAGAAAAAAATTGCTGATTGAAGTTACTCATTTACTGATTTCATTATATGAGCTAATGACGATATTATCAAAAGGCGCAAATGGTGCATTTTAAAGGAAAATGGTTACTCAGACTAATCGTTAAAAGAACCGAAAGTGCAGTAAAATAAAACCAAAAGAGGATTTAGAGATATTGAGATACTATCTATCTATCATTGGAAGGAAGGAGACAATAACGAGTTCAGAGGTGATACCTTCAATGAAAGAAATCATTTGAGTTGAGTCATCATTGTACTGTTATAATCAGATGGAAAGGGAAAGGGAATTTATCCGAACGAATTAATCACTTCGCCATTGCATATAAAATGCGATCTGCAAAATGGGATCAACTTTTTTCGACTTTTTTTTTGATGAATATTTTTTTTCTTTTTGGTAAATTTTCAAAGTAGGAAAAAAAAGAAATGTAAAAAAGTGGCAAAATGTGCAAATTTTAATTGGAGTAATTTTTCTCTTACACTTTGTATGGTAATCTATTTAACAGCTTCAACATAAAAATTAGAATTGTTCATATGAAAAATAAAATATGCGCAAATATTTTAAGTTACGAATATTTTGTATACTTCAATCCTTTTTTTCAATTAGTCAAGTTTGAAAGAGTACACAAGAGTATTTTGGATTAAAAATTGGAAATGCCGAATCATCCAAAGATTATAATTTAAAAGAGAAGCTAAATAATATGAAAAGTGTATAAATACAATAACCTTAGAGAGGATTTATTTGTTCTATTTTAATAAAGGATTACTTATCTTTAAGTATAACAGTTATATGTGTTGGATGAAATTTGATCATTGCATTTGTAAGGTAGGAATAAAAGTTGTGATAAGATGGATGATAAGCTAATTTTTATGATGAACATCAGAAATGGCAACCACGATAACCGAAGAATAATCAACAAATGTGGAGAATAGAGATAAGAAGCAAAGTTCAAGATCCATACTGAAAGTAAAATTTTCCTCTCGAAATTTTAATAGATTTTTGTTAAGATAAAAGCGATAACCTAAAAAAAAAGCAAATTGCTTTCTTTGGGCAAAAAGATTAAAATAATTTTGAATAATTGATTCAAATGGAACAACGAATCAATCAACCGATACAAAAGTGCGCAGAATGCCGAATAATAGCATTTTCTTTGCCTCATGAAATGAGTGATGTAACAAATTTCCGAAGAAACCTTTTCCCATCTCATCTCTCTTCTTCATCACTTCATCAATTTGCGCCTTCACTACTTTCATTCATTTGCAAATGAATTTGTTTAGCAGTAAATAACTGAATCAATCCTACAGAGAAGCTTTATCTCTTGTGAATTAAGTTTTACATTCAAGTTGAGATTTACCTTGTTTAAGAAATATAAACTTAATCAGCTTTAAAACTAATAAATCACTATAGAACTTCAAAAATTTTGACTTATTATCCTTAGTTGAGATCTAAAGCATCAAAATATGATAGATCTATCATTATATAGTAAAACTTTTTTTTGCTGATTTAAATTTATATTTCCTAAAGAAGTTTAATACTTTCGATTAAAAGAAAGAGTAAAGAAAGTATTATGAAGTGTGGGTTTCAATGTTAATGAAAAAGATGTTAAAAAATTATTAAAAAAAAAATTCTCATTCATCGCTATCAAACCAACTAATATCTTCTAGTGACATATTAGTTACGTGTAAAACTTTCAATTCAGTGAATTTTTCAATAAGCTTAACTTTGTTAGTATAATTTGTTTCATTTGTCAAGAAATCATCAAATGGTCTTTGATCATTACATAAATCAAAAAAATAGTAAAAATGTCGTATGATAATATTATCCCTTCCCTTCCTTATGAGTTAGCCTACGATAAACATGATTAAATAAATTTAGCAATTTACTAATAATAATTCTAAATCTGTAAACAAATTTAATACCGCAATAACTATAACTATATGCAGTAAAGGATAGAAAGGCGGCTAGTGGGCAATTTTATTTCCAAAATTCTTCCTTTTCCATTTCCATCAGCATTATTTGTGGAATCTTTGTCAATAGTTAAACAAAATTGTATAGCTTTCATGGAAACAATATAAAATTATTGTTCAAAAAAAAAAAAGAAAAGTTTGCTTTAGTTATTCATTTCCCAAAATGCATGCATATAAGAAATGATTGGAAAATAAATAATTGATTTACAAATTTATGTGAATACCCGGCTGAGCGTATTTGGTTTCTGATTCAACCATCAATAAACAGCCGTTACTCAGACGAAGATGATAGTGACCTAATTGTGGTTGGCTGATGAATGTTGAAAATATATACTAAGTGCGTCTAATTCCTGATTAGTTTAACTCTAATTCTAACAGAAAAAAAATATTTTCAATGAATTGAAATAAGAAATAGCGTTGTATTCATTAACAACTAATATAATAGCATAAAATAGAAGAAACGAAAAATTAGTTTTGTAAATGTGAAATGAATAAATAAAAACAAAACAAAGCAAAAAACAAAAACAAATTCTTGAAGGAAAGAAAAAATGTATTCTTAGAGAAGGAAATGAGATTTTAATTAATATTACACAATCAGTGATAATCTTAACGCTAAAAGAATATATGTTGATTTGATTAATCGAATTATATCGAGATATGATATCAATGCATGTGACATACGACAGCAAAAGACAGAGATTATGAGTGATTCTATTACTTATAATGCTTATTATAGTTTCGTTAAAGTTCAATGATGAATTAATTAACAATCTATCAAGAATACGAAAAGATGTGAAAAAGTATTGAAAATGTTTATAAGAAAATTAAAGTACAATTACTGGAAATGAAACAGCGATAGTATATCATCATCACATCATCATCATCAACAACAACATCAACAACAACAACATCACACATATAGAGAGATACATCCTTGCACAGTAATTAGAAAATAATTAACCATGCAGAAAGGACAGGTTATTAAAGGTGAGGCACAAAAAGAAAGAAAAATAGCACTTAAACAGGATGAAATGAGATTTTCAGGTATATTGGTGGCAAAAATGATAGGAAAAATAATTTATAATATTCATCTCTACTTCACTCAAATTTTCCATTGAAAAATTACTCCTAGTTTATTAAATGTATTTGCACATCAATCAATTATGATACCTTAAATATGTACGGAATGGCAGAATTATTCATACAGTACAGATCAAATCAGCATAGCATGTAATTTGATAGTGTCGCATAATGTAAGGATCATATAATCTACGTTACGAATTGATAGATTAATGGCACTTACTGATGATGAGACGGATTTCTTTGAAACTGGAGATGGTTTTCCGGAATCTTTACATTGTGATTCTGTTAAACTGAGATCAATAGAAATATTCTTTGGCAAAACTGGTGGAGGAGTAAGATGAGATTTCTCTTTTTCTGCAGTATTAATATCAATGAGAGCAAAAGGAGTAGCACTTTCCGCCTCCATTGATATCATTGACTTTTTTTGCCTTTGTCTTGCCAACTTTGCTTCCAGTTCTTCTCTTTCCTGTTGAAATAATTGAAACAAATTTTAGAAATGGGCTAAATATAGATAAAGCATTTTAAAAAAAGTTTAATTTTTAAGAATCGAAGAAAGATTAGATTAAATTGGAGTTTAAATTGATTTTACTTTCAGTTTTGTTTCGCTTCAGTTACTACGTGGGACAATTTGATTTTACTCAGCTGTGCTATTATTACTCAATCTTTTGGCTTCCGTTGGCCTCGGTATAAAATCTGAGTCCACTGAAGCATAAAGCATAAATATATTTGCCTTTTAGATTGTAACATCGAACCCAACAATCAATACCACTGATGGAAGTTTCAAGTTTTAAAAATCTAAACTAAGCTAACTGTTAGGCTTGCAAATGATTACCTAATTACAATCTTAAATGAGCTAAAACTGATTACTAATTTCTTCAGTATTAATATTAGAAACTTAGTACTGCATCAATATGCCAATTCGAAATTCAACACTGCAAGTATGTGAAGTAATTGTAGTAAAGCTATAAATTAAATAACAAAAGACATTTTCAAACGTTTTATTCCTTCAAAACTGATCTGTTTCCTTTCTTCCAAAAATAATTAATTACATTTTTTTTTTTTCGAATGAACATCAATGGGTATTATTTCTTCTCATTTAAAATGACTGCAAAATTTTATTGATTTGATCTCATTCAAGTGAAATGAAAAGTTTTTATCATAGGAATCAATTCACATTTCTTGATACTATCAAAACAACCGCTAAAATTTTTGAATAACTACTACTAAAAATCACTACTCACATTGTTGTCAATGACCTTCCCGCGCTACGATAGGGTATCTTTATTTTTTAAAATAAAAGAGACCAATGATATTTCAAAATATTCACAAAAAAAAAAGAAAAGAAATTTAATTATTCATGAAGTTAAAGAGAGTCTGAAATATTATACATAAAATATAATGCCTCAGAGGATTAGCTCTTTAATATTCATCGTTTAGAATGTAAGTGTGAACTAATATGTATGTGCTAATAGAATCTAATTACACAATCAGGTATAGTTTTAAAATTTGCAAATATAGAATTGTGATTATTATTTTTTTTTAAAAAAAAAAAAACGTGGGTCAAAGATTAATTAATCAAAAAAGAAGATATACCTTTTGAAGAATCGAATCATCAGAAACAAATTTTTTCAACTGCTCATGATGATTGCCTTCATGATGAACAATGGGAACAATCGGAGCAGAGCATTTTGATGATAAGGGGGGCAAATCACTTCTTTCATTAAAATCATCAGAATGATTAACCGTTCGCTCTAAAACTACTAATCATTGAACGGATAAATTAAACTTTATAAGATGACTATTAATTTCATGAAATTTCTCTAAAATCGTCGTCTTCAGCTTGCAAATATAAAATTTACCTTGAATAAGATTATCCACAATATTCACCGATGTTAAAGGTTTTTTTAATGACTCTGGTACATAGTCCATCGAGGACAAAACTTTACGTGAAAGTGTCTGTTCGATAAATTTATCCATATCGGTCCACTCGTTATCTGACACTATTTGCTGTCCTTGTAACAGCGGTAGTTGTGCTGATGATGGTGGCGGTGGCGGTGGCGGTGGTGGTGGCGGTGATAGTTGTGGTGGTGGCGGTTCTGGAATGACAGCATGTTGCTGTACCGTTGTTGATTCTTCAGTAACGAATGATGCACGGTCATCAGTATCACAGCTCAATTTATTAAATCTTTTTGCCAATTTCATAGCTAATTCTTTGTCAACCATCGTTACAACAACACTTCCTCCTCCTTTTCCCTACTGATAACTAATAAAATTTGTTGAAGTTTCTAGTTCGAACTTTTAGTGCCTCCAACTCTCTTTACTCCTTGTAGCAGCACTCCTCTTCTGATATCCAATATTATTCATCCGATTTACACATCAACAACTGGTGAACAGACAAGCATACAAAGTGATTAAACAGTGAGCATCCAATTTCTCAGATTATTTCCAGAATGATCAGTTTCCTCTCTCTCTCTCTCTTCCCAAGACTCTCGAATTTTCTAATCTTACACTTTACTTTTCTTGCAGTTCCCTTAAATTTCAAAAAAAAAAATGAAAATTTCAAATAAAATGGCGAAAATTCATTTTTTGTGTAAAATGCTAAGCTGAAATGAAAACAGTATAACAGAATTATGATATAGCACTATGATTTTCATAATAAATTCTCATATTTTCCTGAATTTTACTTGGTGATAATATTATTGAATGTAACAACTTACATTACTATATGATGAAGCAACTAACATTAATTGTAATTTTTAATTTCACACATTTCAAGGTAGCGTTTCAAGGTAGCTTTTTTTCTCGAGAAATATTAAAATGAATTACATTCAAATAGTCAACCAAAAAATATCAACAGTGTTTGCTTGCTTATGATTACATCTCATTAATAAATTTTTTTTTTTTATTGCAAAAATTACTAAAACTAATAAGTGGAAAGGAAAGAAATTCCAAAGAATCATAAACTCAGATTTCTTTAAACTTATGCAAAAAAACACAGAGATAAAAAAAAACTCACTTTAAAAAAAGAAAAGTAAAAGGCGAATGGTTCAACAGAGAACGATTTTAAAGTAATTAAATTTTTATTAACACACAAGTACTCTTTCACAATTTAAACAACAAAGAATAAACATGGTCATTTATTTTTGATGAAGAAAAAAGAAATATATGAAGTAACCAAATTATTGAAACATTTATACAGATAAGAAATGAAATAAGAAAAATTCTCCTTCTCCCTCTTACTCTATCCCTCTCTCTTCGTACAGAAAAATCATTAATTTAAAACTTATTATTTTTCTAAAAAAAGTGTTCTAATCCTATAGACTGCAAATTTTTGACAGTTTTTTGATTGAATTTAGTCAGCAACTAACAATTAGTATAAATTTATCATTAACTAATTCAAAACTTAATATAGTTAATAAGAATGATGGACTTATGCTAATTGTTAGTTTTTTTTGATAGTAAAGTAATCTTATACTTTCATCCAATTTTTCACTTATTACTTTTTCTTATTTCTTATATTTCTACTTAAATTGTAGAGAGAGAATCGGATAAAAACTTGAATTGAATGAATCTGAATAAAATAAAAGGAGAAAAAACTTGGACTGGATTTTCTATTCTGTCAACTTTCGAGACAGTCGGTGACAAGTAAAACCTAATTTAATGAAACACAATTTGAATAGAAATTTTTAAAGAATCAGTATTACTCAAACAAACCTTAACATTAATATTAAAAAAGAGAGTTGGATTAGTGCCACATGTGATAACTAATAACTGGAAAGATAAATAATTTTGAGAACATTATTATTAATTTGAGTAGAAATACATAATTTTAAAATAATGCATCCTTGTCCAAAATTTTTTTTTTAAAACTATTAATTTTGAAAGTCAATAACTAATATCAAAATAAACTTACTTTAAAAAGTGATACTTTGTATTATTAGTACTGTTTCTAGTTAATGAACATTTTTGGAACCATTCAAACAGAGCGTCCATTTCAGCTTCTCAACTTTATCACTCCTTGCTGATATCGCCACTCTAAAAATGCTTATCTTATTAAAAAAGAAAAAAAAATTCATATGTAAGCAAAATAATGCCAAATATGTTTTTTCAATAGTAACTCTCGGAAATTTGTTGTGTCATAATTAAGAACTTTAGTTTACATTAAAAACACAATAAAATTTATTGAATAATTCCAATAAAGCCAAGATGCACTGTACTACGTGTAATGAACTAACTGAACTCAGCTAATTGCTCTAAAATTAACACTAGAAAAACGCCAAAAATTAAAATGATGTATCGATTTTTAAAAATTTTGAATTTTTAAAATTTTATGGAAATCAAGAAATGTTTGACATCAAAGATACTTGTAAAGTTTAATACTAATCTTGCATATATGTGACTTTTCATAGAGCTGCGGGAATTGAAATAGATAAAATGTATGTGCAGTGATTAATGTATTCTCTTCAATTAAAATGTATAAGAAAATATAGGATGCACGGACAATGGAATTGCATCCGTGAATTAAATTCAAAATCTTTGTACAATAAATTTTAATTTTACAAGATAATTAGTCTGAAAACATGAAAATTCCCACTTCATTCTACCATTATATAAAAATATTGGAACATAAGGATTTAATCCCATCTAAAATCTAATAGTATAAATAAAACAACCCGAAATTCGTTCGCCTTTATATGAAACACATACACATATAACTTTTGCCATATATTGCAGAACTTGTGGCACAGTCCTTTTCAATTGGAAACTTCTCCAAGACCAAAACATCCAAGTATTTTTATGCTGTAATAATTCATTGTCATAGCCTGTTTCCATTCACATTGCTTCTCCAATACCACTTCCCGCTAGACACCATTAATTAATTAATCAATTCCGACAAATGCACTTTAACTGTTCTGCATAACATTTTAGTTTTACTCTTCTGACATTAACATCATTCTAATGCATCGCAGAAAAGCTTTTATGCACAATGAAACTATCCACAAAAAACGAAATTTTCAATACGAATTAAAATAATAATCAAGAAGAGAGTGACACATGAATGCCATACAACAACATTAACAATAACAAAAACACTTTGATTCTGTTGACAAGACGTTAAATACTTTTCTGCGCGTCCTCATTTAAAGAAAAATGAGACAAGATACAGAAAATTTTTCAACCATTTAAAAGTTGCAAACGACTGAAAGAATAAAGACATATGTAAAGTCAATTACAACTATAATGTTACTATCAAAAGCTAAATGTGATAGGTTGGAAGCGAAGTTGAGCAATGTCACCAAAGTTAATGGCTAACCTTCTTATTTGGTTGGATTAACTTGTAGCTAAAATAAAAACTGTCTCTTCAAATTCACAAACATTGTTATATATATTCCATTCGATAAGCAATGAAGTTATTTAACTTAAAGAGCATTAAAAATATCAAATTTCATGGTATTTTAATAAACCAGTACTGCAAAGTTAATGAAAGTAAATCGTTCTTTTTTTTTTTTTTTCATTAAATGAAAATCGATGTTTCAATGGACAGTCGAGAAATATTGCACAAGCACGAACTAAATATTTGTGACAACAACATCGCTTAAACAACACTACTCAGAAAACAAAGTGCCTCCATTTTGAAATGAAGAAAGAATGATTTAGAATTCCAAATTTTTGCCCAAAAGTAATAAAATAACAACGAACATCCGTAAAAGATCCATTTAGGAATGTGATTCATAAATCTAAATGTTCCAGAAATAGCCAAGACGACTTCGTGATGATATATATATATATATATGCCGAATATTATATTAGAAGGCAGTGTATGATAAGAAACTTGAAGAAAGGAATATTAGAGATCAAGAGGGATGCAATCAATATTATTTGTTTTCAGCTGATAATACTCAGTATTACATCCTTAAATTCATTTTATTGTCATTTCATGAATTGGCAAGTTTTTACATTTGACTTCAGCTTGGCATCAAGCTATCTGATAGATATGTATCGCATTGAATTAACTACTCTTATTTTTAAAAAGAGAGGCTAGCAGTTACTCGAATTTCGTTTTTAGAATTTTGTTTTTACAGGAATCAGTTTGTTTTAAACTATCAGTATTTTTGATAATCTGATTTTTCTTGAGAATAGATAATTTCTTAATTTATCGACAATTTCAGCCATGATAATTAGTAAGAAGGAGCAAATATTTCGATTCAATTCCACTAACGTCAGCATGTCTAAGGCATTCAGTAGAAGAACACCTTTCTGAAAAAGATATTTTATTTCGTTTCAAAAAACATTTTCCGGAAAACACAGTGAATTTTAAATTTAAAAGGTCTACTTCTTTTTATAACAGTAAGACTGCACGTCATAAAAGCCTCTTAAAACAATAAAAATGAATCAATAAATTTGTGAAGTATTGCATATCCTCAATAATTGAAATCTTGTTAAAATTCTTCAAAATAAGCAACTTGGAATGATCAAAATCAGTACCTGTTGAATATTTACGACCGGAAATAGTCTCGAAACAAGCGGAGCATATTTTTGCTTGACAGCAACTTATCGTTATGTATTTACCTTCTTCCACGTATTTTTTACATATACCGTCGCACAGATTGGACTCATCCACCTCAGATGCTTTTCCTGAACAATCATTCGCTGGGCAAACTAAACATCGGTCACTTTCTGCAGGGAAAAATAGATTACAGGTGAAATTTAGAAGTTAGTGATAGATCATGTCATATCTTTTATTTATGGAATTTAGCCTGATGCCTTACCGATCTCTGAAAATCAATCGTCGGCTGGTAAATTTGCAAAATTTAGCATACATCTCTTTCTTCAAGCTATTATGGAGGAAAATTATCGGTTATCATGTAATAAGCAATTCTTAATTGTGACCCATAATTTGTAGTACATCTGACCAAAGATTTCTAAAGTTTTTGTATTGAAGAAACCGCCTGCTATGTTAACATATTTCGAGAAGTTGCAAAATCAGGAAGTGAACTTTTCATATTCTCACGAATTATTTTATATGCAAAATATTTAGAAAAAACACTAATAACATCTGTATTATACAATTAACATTTAGCATATATCTCTTAAAGAATGTGAATTTTTTTCAAAATATCTCTGGTAAATTTCTTCATTTTGTATGCACGTATAAGAGAGATGACAGATTAGGAAAAAACACTGATAAAATCTATCTTATACAATTAACATTTAGCATATATCTCTTAACCAATGTAAATTTTTTTCGAAATATTTCTAGTAAATTTCTTCATTATGTATGCATTTCAAATGCTGAAAGCTGTGGTTGTACAATGAAGATTTGCTTACATAAGATAAATGTTACTATTATATTGTCATATTTTCAAAAAAAAAAAAAAAAAAAAAAAAACTGAAAATAAATAATTGAATACTCCCGCTGAATCAACTTTATCTGCATATTCTCATGTTTTTTCCTATTGTGGTCACGTAAAAATTGATACTATACTTGCGTAAAATATCACTGGAAAAAAAATGAATTTGTTACTAACAATAATAAAAGGCATCAATCAGTATTCATTTCTCTGATAATTATCAAAAACATATCGTGAAGATGAATGTCAATCAGATTTCATTATTTCAGCGATTTCACCGAAATCTATTTTACTAATAGTAAATGAAGAAATAAAATAAAAACTTCCTTAATAAGGATCATTTATTGAACGCATAAAAATAACAACTTATATTCGTTACAAAACATAAAAATATGCTCTCAGTTGATCATTTGGCTATTATCAGTTAATCATTTGGCTTAAAATCTTATTGAAGATTTAAAAATTTTCCTCAGATATATCATATACAATGTGTAAATGTGGGATGAAATTTTACGTCATTTCAAATTCTACTATTTGTCAAACAATAGTAAACAAATGTCGCATTGAAACAGACACAATATGATGTTTGTACTAGAATATTTCCAGGACAATTAATCGCAATGCATTCAATTTGTGAGGATTAATTCATGGATTATTTTATGTACATTTGCATATATTATTGATGACTAATATCATTTATACGAACCAGAAGAGAATTCTTTTGTGTAGATAGTTTATCATGGCCATGACAAATATGACTAACTGGTTGAAATATTGGCTCTAAATTATGACATTTGTTTGTCACTTCTTCGTGCTTGAATTTCTATCCAGTGTTGTGATTACTTTTCTACTGTTGTTAAACATATCATACATATCACTTAGTGTTAACCCACGTGGGTCCCACGAATTTCACTTCACGTAATCATCGATTCCGTTCAGCATCTGTTTATTTCGTCAAAATTTGTTCCTATTCTAGACTGATTGATATTTGTGTGGTTATGTTCTTCTACCTGCAAAGCGGGAAGTAGGTCATAGAAAGTTCGGGATTTTTGATCTGATCAGTTTCTGATATCGGTTACTGTTTGCTGCCAGTATCGCAAACATGCTCCCCTGGAGAACGGTGAGTTGAATTTTCCGCTCCCCTCTCCTCCTCCCCTTCCCTCCCCTTCTCCTCTCCCTCTTCTCCCTCCTCTTCTTTCACTCCCTCCCCTTCCTCTTCCCCTTTCTCTTCCCTCTTCTCCTCTCTCTCCTGTCTTCTCTATCCTTCCCCTCCTGCTCTCCCTCTTCTCCTCTTCCTGCCTCCTGTCCTCCCTCCGTCCTACGTCATCTTCCTCTCTTCCCTCTCTCCTGTCCCCTCTATCTCCCCCCTTCCTCTTCTTTTTCCCTCTTTCCCTTCTCTCCCTCCTCTCTTCTTCACTCTCTCTCATGGAGGTGCTGATGAAAACAACGACGAGCAAATAATTTCAACTTTAAATATAGATGCTAAAGATGATGAGTATCTTTTATACCTTGAAGCTTAGTATTCCTTTTTTTCTTTTTTTTTTTTTTTTTTTGTAATTTTGAGTTGTAATGAATTTTTGTAACTTTATTCTTGAGCTAATAGTTCTCTTCTCAATAAATCATAAGCAGATATATTACAATGGTCTTTTCGTTCGATCAACTATGTTGGCTTCTTTTCATGTTTTTGTGCAATTCGTGATCATATAGAATCCCTAGAAAAAACTCTTCAAGGTTATTTATTTCAGAAACAGTGTAGCAAATGGTGATAAAAGACAGCAGAAATCAGGAAATCTGGATCGTTTGGATGCTTTATATCACCACTGGAAAAGTTTAAGTTTAAATTTTGAAAAACAAGCAGAAAATTTCGAAAAACGGTTGAAAGAGGAAAGAGATCGAACAGATGCCGAAATGCGAAATGCGGTAGTTACGTAAGTATTACTCTTTCAAATCATTCATACTGAAATTTCTATTTCTCTCTCTCTCTCTCTCTCTCTCCTTGTCTTTTCCTCTCCCCTAGTAATCCATAGTTCAAAAATTTCTTTTAAATAATTCATGCATATTTATTAATGCTTCGCTGCGATCAGTTACTGAAAATGATTATTATGATTAATTATTTCAATAAATTGAAGATGAACGGGTTGCGAGCTCGCTTTTTTCACATCGAAGCATTAAATTTTTGAACCAATTAACTGATGAAATGGTTCTCACTGTATGCTACAGAATAGTGGAATCACTTATTGCTCTTTTGGCGATATAGTTGACGATTATGCATTAGATGGGATCATTTTTGAAGAAATTGTTTCCGTTAAATTTCCAAAAATTGGTGATATAAGGAAGTGAAAAGACCTTCCTGGTCAAAAAGTTGTTAGACTGTAAATGTGTAGTACTAAGTGTAATTTCATCATTTTAATTAAGATTGTTTAACTTATTAATGTTGTTGTTATTAATATTATTGTTAATCTTATAATTAGTTTTATTATCGTTTTCATTACCATCATTATTACCATTACGATTTTCTATTTTTCTCATTACTACTAGTATGATAACACTGTTTCCAAAGTACTAGAGATGAGCTTTCTGATTGGAGAAAGAGAAGGAGTATAAATCTTAAGAATTTTATTTTAATTTTGGTTTTCACTCACCTCACTTACTTTGCCATGCATTTTTTGAAGAGGGTTAAACGAATCCCTTTGTGATAGATTCAATTCCTCCTGATTTTTTTAATTCAATTTCATTTCCGTGAATAAATTTGTTGACCATACTAGCAACTTTTCCCGTTCAAAAGGAAAAGATTAGGTGGTGAAAAATGCGATGAATGTAGGTGATATGGGTAAAGTGTTCTGTTGATTCATGAAAAATATTTTGAATTATTTTGTGGCTTACATCTCACAATTAATATTTGTTTGATTTTGCTTAGGTGAAGATATCGTGTCTTGTGATGAGAGACTGTTTCTGAAGCTAGAATCTTTGATCAATGAAAACAGGAGGCAATGCAAACCTTTCTCGATCTTAAAATGGATAGTGTTGTTCAGAACCTTCGAGCAAAAACTGCCGATAATTTTAAGGTCCTGTTAAGTTCTGTTAAGTTTTGTAAAACATCTGGGCTTTTGATAAAAAAAAAAAAAGAAAAATTTTTCCCGAACTGGCATTTAAACTCGTTTTATAAATTTTCAAGCTTTCATAAAACCAGTGAATAATATTTATCTCAGCAACAGCAAACTATGGATTTACACGTTGTTTGTGATGAGGCATTGGCATTGGTTGTGGAGGTTTGCGGGATGTGATCGAGATTGTGAACGCAATGATAATCGAGGATTACAACAACAACAGCTTCATAATAATGGTGGTAGGCGTTATTATAGTGATAATCGTAATCGCATGCTTCGTTATAGAGATTATGATGATGATCGTCGATCTCGGGGTTACGAACCACCGCACGATGATTTTAGTCGTAATCGGAGACAAACGTGTTTTATTTTTTTATATTTTGAAACATTTAAAAATGTGAAAACTTTGGCCAATAATTGGAATCTTTAACTGATTTAAAGCGGTTGTAATTTTGCAGTGTATTTATTCTTCCTGATATGTTTTGAGCAATTTCAGATGAGTTCATCGTTTTGTATTTGTTTGAATGTAAAAGTTATTCGGTTCTCTTCGGTGGGTTTTGTGCTACAAAAATTTTAAATTGGCGCTGCGCTTCGCCAAGTTGGCACAATGCCAGGAACGATTTCTTGAACTCTCATTTCTTGAAGTTGATACTTCGTTGCTTTCTGAACGGTTCCGGTTTTCTTTATCAGTTTCGCAAGAGTTTTATTTCAGGTCTCGATTTGTGGAATTTTTTTTGGTTTTTTTTTTTTTTTTTTTTTTTTTTTTTTAAAAATATCCTGAAATGAAGGAACTTCGTGATTATTAATAACTAGTTAATATATTATGGAAACCGCTTCAACGAATTTAAACAAGAAAAATAAATATAAACTCACAGATTTACAAAGTAATTTATTCAATTCAGTTCTAACGTAAGTCATGTGTGCAAGAAATGATTTTTATTGCTAGTTTAAAAATATCGACGTAAATAATAAAGACCACCACTAAATGATGACTTGACCCAATCAGCAAAAGCTTTATTTTAAAGTGATGGATAAAATATGAACTTAATTTTCAGCCAGTACTTTTTTAGATGCAGTAGAGTCGATGTTATCTTCCTCTGGAACTGTGTCTGAAATTTTCCTTTTACGTGTTGCTTCTTTTTTCTTATTTTCCACAATTCGAGAGAGAGTTCCATAAAGTTGTGCGGCTACAAATTCAGATGCCTTAAAAAGACATTAAGTTAGGAAGATGATGAAAATCATTTCGTAACGAAGTAGGCAAAGGAAATCAAAAATATATAACAAATCTATCAGTAAAGTGCACTATCTCTGCTAATCTGTTAAATATAAGTTTTCTCTGCTAAATATAAATGATTTCAGAATTTCTGAAAAACACAGCAGCGTCTAGGGCACAACTTCTAAAATTAAAATTGAACTATACAAAAATGAGACTTTGACTGAACCCGATTCTTAAATTCATAGCTAAAAAACCTCTTTTATTCTCGAAGACTAATAATGGTCCATTAGTTTTAACAAATTAGAGCACAGAAAGCAGAGGGAACGGTTACAGAAAATTCATACTGTAGCAAGAAAAAGTGTAGGAACTTCTGAATCTGGCGCTGTGGCTGAGAATTTCACCCGTTTCATTGACAATTTTTCAACGATCATATCAGGAAATATCTGTGAATTAAGCACTACTCTTTGATTGCCCATTACTCGACCAACTAAAACTATCTTGACTTGATTAAATCAAATGAAATTCATCATTATTATTAACAAAAAACTCGAGTAAAACTAAATAAGAAACAGACAAATATTCATTCTACAATATTAGGATAAAAAGTTTCGTTAAATGCGATGAAAATCCGAGAGGCCTATTTTTTGTATCCCAGCTAACAGCTTCACGCAATATGTCTTCCCTTACACCTAAGTTAATTCTATCATTCCCGTGATCATTACAAACACATGCATTTTGAAATGTGTTCAACTTCTGAAAAAAGGTATCGAAGGTAATTTGATAGAGAAAACTGTAACTTTAGTGCATGAATTGTAAGCGTAAAGCTCTATAAAAAATGAAAGGGAAAGCAAATAATGAAAGTCATTACCGATTCGATAAGTGTAAGGTGGTTCTTCACCTCGTTCATTAATGCGTAAGCAAGACATCCCACGCTCTACCCATGATTTTGTTGAACTATCAAATGAATGTAATTTACACATTACCTAAATTAAATATGCCATATTATACCTTATTATTAAAGATACCTTCAATTTCAATTACAGTTTGCTTATTAAATACGCTTTAATTATTTCCAATATATCTCTAATAGGTTTGAGATTTTGTATTTTGTCAAAGAAAAGCTTATCACAACGAAACTAACTTCCACACCAAACTTCTCAAGAAAAACTTACGCGGTATATGTTTACTTCACCCTCTTCACCAGTAAAAACATCCAGTTTTGGTGGAACTGACTCAGTTTTCTCGGAAGGCATAATTGAATTACCTTCGTTAGTAACTGAACTCGATGAAGCGGAGGTTGCCTCTAATTCCTATAACAAGACAAAATAGGGCAATTAAATTTACGTAGAACTTACAAAATTTTTTTTTTTTAAAGTATTTTTAAAAGTTGAGAAGACTTAATGATGCTATTATGAGACCAACTTACAAAACCCGTCCCGAATTTATTTTTAAAAGTTGAGAAAGAAAACTTAATGATGCTAAAGTCATGTGTTATGAAAAAATGCTGCAGTTAGAAATAAAAATATTAATTCCAAAAGAATTCGTCGAAGCAAAAAGAAGCTAAGCATAGCTAGAGAAAAAGAATAATACAAATACTGATGTAATTTCTAGAAGCGCATTTCTTAAAGATTTCTTGTCAAAAATTATTAATTAAAATTTGAAGTCGATTAAAACTCACTGCAACTGATTCTTTTACTTTATGACTGGTAATAAAGGATGATGAAGCTCCTTTCTGTTTGATTTCTTCAAATACCTCCGTGACACTTTTCGGAGCATCACATTTGGTTTCACTTTTTGCTGCGGTATGTTCACTTGTAAAAGCAGTAGTTTGTTCTCGCATATTATCCTGCTAAAATTCGTATTATAATCATTGGAAAACCACAAGTAATGGTTCCTTTAAAAAGCAACAGTTTCAAATTGTGTTGTCTATTAACCTCGTATAGAACATGTTATAAGTAATATATACAATTATACGTCTAACTTCACTTCGCTTTTATTTTTATTTCTTATTTGATAAGTCATTTAATTGGAAGTTTCGTCTACGGCAAAGACAAGAAAAAAAAAAATAACGGAAAAGAGAAGAAAACAAATACATACTCCATTGTTGATAATAACTTTTTCGGATAATTTGGAGCCAAATATAAAACTATCACCAGTATTCTTTACGGTCTCTATATTTGCATTCCTTTCCGGTTTATCCTTAGCAAGCGTTTTTCCAAGATCCAATTTTATATTTTTCTCATCCGCCTTGAAACCATTCTTACTAGCTGACCATAGCTGGTCTGCTGCAGAGGATAGTTTCGAAGATTTAAATGCGATTCGTTTCGTTGTCATTGTTGTTGGTATCTTGAATGAAAAAATCCTTTTTTCAAACAGTACTTCTATAACCATGAAACTGACAGCAACCCATTTCCACTGTTCGTGAATACTAATAAAACTTATCACATCGCTAATATACCATCTGCACGCTACTTCCGTCCTCGCATACGTACAATAATTTCCTCTAATAAAAATACAAAGTACGAACAAAAATGTTTATTATTACTATAAATAATCGATTATTCAAACTACCTGTAATACTTATGAAAGAGTAAATAATCATACATTGGAATTATTCATCAAAAAGACACTCAAAAAGAACTCAGCAATCCCTGCTATTTGCAAAGTGAATAAAAACCCGCCGCAACTCCGTCGAAATTTTGTCAATTATCTCTGGCCGTATTTTTTTCTCTAACTGAAATCTCTAGCAAGTTTCAACTGAACTTACTTTATCATTTTCTCGTTCTCTAATGTCTCTCATGTTAGTCTGCTACTTTTATCAGTTTTCTAATATCTCTCCTGTCTTTCCACTGCATATTTCTTTCTCTGAACACTCTCACATTCCACCTTTATCAAATATTTCGACAATTACTTTAATTGTTGATTGTTCTTCTCTCTTTTTCTCCCTCTCCCTCTCTCTCTCCTTCTTTTTCCGTAACACCTGTCTTCCCAGGTGCTAATAATTAACTCTACCTTGGTTACCATCGCATAAAATTCGAAGATTATTTTCACATTCACACCTGTTTAAATAAATAAATATCTTTTATTATTTTTCTCTCTTCGTTGTTCAAAATGATTAATTATAATTAAAGATAAAACTTTGTCCTACACATTCGTCAAATTCTTTTATTCAAAGTCCATTTTTTCTTTTTTCTATTAGAAATATTCTCTTTCGCTATCATTTAATCTGCCTTATGGAGTAGATATGATAGAAATGATATTAATCATTTTGATTCTCTTCTCTTACCTCTCATGAATGTTATTTTTGATACCAAAAATGCGCACTTTGTTTTCTTTCATTTACCGCATCTTTCATCTTCTCTTCACCTACACTTTGCTTCTCTCTTTCCTCTCTACATTTTCTCTATTTTCAAATATAAAGCATACATACATACATACCTACACACATACACACATGCATAACATACATATACACATACACGTATAGCCTACCTACCTACATACATACAAATTTGGAATCTTATAATTCGTATCAGTGGGAAGTACTTCTGTTTTTTTTTTTTTCAAATTTCTATTATTTTCAGTTTATTTACCACATTACTTTTAAATGCTATAACATTCTCAAGAAATTATTCCATTTCATTCGTCTTTACTATTTACAGATGATGTGATGACACATCGATGCTAATTAAGCAATGCTTAGTAATTTTCAAAAAACAAAAAAAAAAAAATTTGTTGTAATTTATTCAGATATTTCCATCATTTTATGCCCTTTTCATCTTACATTTCATTTCATTTTGATGATTTTTTCATAACATTTTGTTATTGACTAACTATCCTTTCATATTATCAAATGAACTCAAACTGAAACTGTCATATTCTCCACTAATTCAGATATATTACTTCTTCATTATTTTTAAATTATCCACAACAAAAGTTGTATTTTCTTGTTTACTTCTATCATTACTTGAAGTTTCATTTCTATTTTATCTTTCATTTAATTGATTGTCATCTGTTTCTTAAAAGTTTTTTTTCAAAAATTTGGAAAGAACCATAGTAGTTGTTCCTGACAGTTTGAACTTTTTTTTGTTATGAACTTATCATTGCCTTTTATCATTTCGACATTATCATTCCGATTATATTCTGCTTATAATCAATCATTTGATTAAATATTACAGATTTCAGCAAATGTTTTACGCATATATTAGCATCAGTAAACAATGACATACATATTAATACGGGAAAACATGAATGTATTGGATTTACCTGATGAAATCATTGAACAGATCTGTTCCTACATTTCACCTGTTCAGGTTCTTTCTTATTATTCTCAAGTAGAGACCACTTAATTAATTATGAATGTCTAATTAAAATAAAAATAAATGCATGTTATGTGAAGTACAGTGATTCTATTCCACACAAATACACTTCATTTAAAATATGATATAGTAATAATATATATATATATATATATATATATATATGTATATGTAGCAAGGGCTAATAATCATTCCTAGAACGATATCATTTCTAATTTATACAAATGACTTCCTGTTGGATCTGAATTATTGAGAAAAAGCTTGGCTATCAACATTATTAACAGTCCTTGATTGCTTCAGTTGTGTTTATCAAGATGGGATAAGATCAGCAAAGGATTCAGAGATGTGCTACAGCAAATATATAAGAGCTGTCGTATACTGGATACAATTACAGGGCAGGATTTCAGATTTTTCGAACAGTTCTGTTTGCCTCAAGCTTATGAAGATAAGGTTTGGTTCTTTGAAACATCTCATCTTTCTTCATAATACACATTTTTACTAAAATTATCATAATTGATTTTCAGTTGTCAATTTTTGATTAATTCTTATTATAATATAGCAAATCAACTTAAATTACATGTATGAATTTAGATCCTCATAAGAAAGCTCGAAATTGTTATTCGAAATATTTTTCCACATATTACGATGCTTACCATTTCTGCGGGAACACTTTGTGCAGATAGAAATTTTTGAAAAATGCGGTTATATTTATAAATGTTATTATGCTTGTTGCCTGGGATTGATATCGTTTAATGTAATCAAAATATAACAATACATATGCTTTGAAGACTTCAAAAAGTTTAGTAAACATTTTTTGAAGCACTTGTGAGGACAAAAAAATTGATATCGGGCCTAATGAAGGACTTCAATCCTCATACTATGTAACGAATCCATAGTAGGTTAAGATAGTTAATATTAAATCCTTTTAAAAAATTGTAATAAACTGTGCTTTCAGTTTTAAGATCTGCCGTCAAATTTTAACCCATTTTACTGATGCCAAAACTTCGTTTTCTTCATATATTGTTAGGCAATAAGTGTGGTATTCTTACTAACAATCATATATTGAGTGATTTTATTGCAGCTCGGTTTGTTTCTCTTAAAGTAATTATAATTCCATTGATTCATGCCTATTGCTTTTTTAATTATCAATATTCTGTTGCCATGATTAACAAAAAATACTTTTCTAAATATCCTACAATTTTGATAACTGTTTCCATATGCAGCCATTTTTGAAGTTATGTAGTTTTCCGTACAAAAACTTTTTAGAATGTTTGTCAACGAACTGAGATTTGTGGAACTGTCGGTGACACTGTCACCAGATAGTGGAAAGTTCATACCCTGCTGTAGTTTTCGGAACCTTCTTCGCTTCTTGATGGAAATAACAGAAAATACTGGTAAGTTCTCATGATTAATTGGATTAGTTGGTTGGTTGTTCTGCTTGTAATATATATATTGAGGTATAAATAAATTTGGATTTCATATCTTGTTGTAAATAGAATGGCTTAAACTAGAAAACAAAGTTTGGCCACTAATTTTTTATTTTTGTAATAAAATAGAGAATTTTTGTGTGTGGAATAAGTGTGAAAATTTTCATGATTAAATGAATTAAATCAATGAGATTATCGAGATTGAACATATCTTTATTTTCAGGAACTGTCATGAAAGACGAAATATTTAAATTATTATATCCAAAACTAACAAATTCCTCTTATCTATTCCTTTTCCTCACACAACAAACCTTTGTTAGCAAACCCTTTGTTAGCAAAACCCTTTATTAGCAGTCTTTGTTTCACATCAGTTAAATATCCTCTGCCGGATATCTGGTTAGCTCAGTCATACATATAAACCATCGTCCTCCATACGGTGGTTCATTCTGCATTTTGGGGTGGTTTTGATACCATTTTAATGTTTTATAATTATATCTTTCGTTACGCGTTTGTTAATCGGTGTAGCATCCGTACGATATGTATAAAGCGCTATTATTTGCTTCATGTTAAATAAAGGTTTAATTACCCAAGTTTGAGGTTTCACGACAAAGAATAATTTTTGGTGCCCGAGGTGAGGTATGTCGGCCAGTATAATTGTTCAAGCTACACCAGTAAAAGCGAATCTCGAGGGACTCCTCGATGAAATACAACAAATGGATCTAACTCCGTTAGACCAAAAAGCGACAGTAGAAGTATTGTGCCAGCAATATGAAGCAAGGGCAAGGATCATCAAAGAAAAGTTGATGCGCCTCGAAAAATACGTTGACACTCTTGAGAAGATCAACGACAAATGGTTGGAACACATTCAACTAGCCCCAACATGAAAATCTATGTCATTCAGGTATCGCCCATACAGTTTCAGAATTAAGGAGTAGATTTTGGATTCCCAAAGGCAGGACTGAAGTAAAGCGAATAATAAACAGATGTCGAATCTGTAAACGTTGGAACTCCAGATCGTTTAAATTACCACCAATGGCAAGTCTCCCGGAAACTCGTGTCAATCGATCTAGAGCCTTCGCACATGTTGGCGTGGATTATTTTGGCCCTCTTTTAATCAAGGGCAATAGCGTGTCAACAAAAAGGTGGGTAATATTATTTACATGCTTTACAACAAGAGCCATACATCTCGAATTAGCAGAAGACCAATCCGCAGAAACCTTTTTGCATGCTATCCGAAGATTTGTTGCGAGACGAGGGTGTCCTGAGCTAATTCTGAGTGACAATGCCACTCAATTCCAGGCTTTCAGATCTCTTATGACACAAGTCAAAGTCTCCAACTTCTTAGCAAAGGGAGGAATGACTTGGAAAAATATTATACCAAAGGCTCCGTGGCAAGGTGGAATCTACGAGAGATTAATTGGGTTAACGAAAAATGCGCTAAGAAGAGCCATTGGCAGAAAATTCCTAGCGGAAAGGGAATTGGTAACATTAATTGCAGAAGTTGAAGGTATACTTAATACCCGACCACTAACTTACGCCAATTTTGACGATTGCGTCATTATACGTCCAATTGATTTTATTTTGCCTAACGCTTCGCTCCATCTACTATAAATGAAGTTTATAGCAAGCAGGAAGAATTCACCCCTTATAGACTAGATACCAGAGAAAAACTCGTGAGACACTGGGAAAGTACCCTTAAAACTCTCAATGTTTTTTGGGAAATCTGGAGAACCGAATATTTAACTAGCCTCAGAGAACGCACGCAAAGGGAAATTACCTCATCCAAAGGAGCACAAAAAAGAACTCCAAGAAAGGGAGAGATTGTACTCTTAAATGAATCGGGAATTCCAAGAGGAATGTGGAAATTATTACGGATCAAGGACATCAAAATCGATAAAGACGGTAAAGTTAGGAACGTTCAGGTGGAAACTCCCACTGGGAAACTTCTCGATCGTCCAATAAATGTCTTATATCCTCTCGAAGTTAATGATGAAGAAATTCATCTTGAACCTAATAAGAAAGAAAATATGAAATTTCCGGAAACCGAACAGAACACTGAGGAGCTCCAGGAACCTATTGCGATGCGAACTAGGAGCAATACAAAACGACAATCTCGATTAAAGGAGGACCAAACAACTATCACCGCACCATCATCAGAAACCTGTAGAGTTTACACGATCAAAAACAGATCAATGGAAGTAAACAACCCCCACTTTCTTATGAACACCACGCATTACCCACCTTTTCTGGTCGGGAGTGTCGTGAAAGACGAAATATTTCAATTATTATATCCAAAACTAACAAATTCCTCTTATCTATTCCTTTTCCTCACACAACAAACCCTTTGTTAGTAAACCCTTTGTTAGCAAAACCCTTTATTAGCAGTCTTTGTTTCACATCAGTTAAATATCCTCTGCCGGATATCTGGTCAGCTCAGTCATGCATATAAACCATCGTCCTCCATACGGTGGTTCATTCTGCATTTTGGGGTGGTTTTGATACCATTTTAATGTTTTATAATTATATCTTTCGTTACGCGTTTGTTAATCGGTGTAGCATCCGTACGATATGTATAAAGCGCTATTATTTGCTTCATGTTAAATAAAGGTTTAATTACCCAAGTTTGAGGTTTCACGACAAAGAATAATTTTTGGTGCCCGAGGTGAGGTATGTCGGCCAGTATAATTGTTCAAGCTACACCAGTAAAAGCGAATCTCGAGGGACTCCTCGATGAAATACAACAAATGGATCTAACTCCGTTAGACCAAAAAGCGACAGTAGAAGTATTGTGCCAGCAATATGAAGCAAGGGCAAGGATCATCAAAGAAAAGTTGATGCGCCTCGAAAAATACGTTGACACTCTTGAGAAGATCAACGACAAATGGTTGGAACACATTCAACTAGCCCCAACATGAAAATCTATGTCATTCAGGTATCGCCCATACAGTTTCAGAATTAAGGAGTAGATTTTGGATTCCCAAAGGCAGGACTGAAGTAAAGCGAATAATAAACAGATGTCGAATCTGTAAACGTTGGAACTCCAGATCGTTTAAATTACCACCAATGGCAAGTCTCCCGGAAACTCGTGTCAATCGATCTAGAGCCTTCGCACATGTTGGCGTGGATTATTTTGGCCCTCTTTTAATCAAGGGCAATAGCGTGTCAACAAAAAGGTGGGTAATATTATTTACATGCTTTACAACAAGAGCCATACATCTCGAATTAGCAGAAGACCAATCCGCAGAAACCTTTTTGCATGCTATCCGAAGATTTGTTGCGAGACGAGGGTGTCCTGAGCTAATTCTGAGTGACAATGCCACTCAATTCCAGGCTTTCAGATCTCTTATGACACAAGTCAAAGTCTCCAACTTCTTAGCAAAGGGAGGAATGACTTGGAAAAATATTATACCAAAGGCTCCGTGGCAAGGTGGAATCTACGAGAGATTAATTGGGTTAACGAAAAATGCGCTAAGAAGAGCCATTGGCAGAAAATTCCTAGCGGAAAGGGAATTGGTAACATTAATTGCAGAAGTTGAAGGTATACTTAATACCCGACCACTAACTTACGCCAATTTTGACGATTGCGTCATTATACGTCCAATTGATTTTATTTTGCCTAACGCTTCGCTCCATCTACTATAAATGAAGTTTATAGCAAGCAGGAAGAATTCACCCCTTATAGACTAGATACCAGAGAAAAACTCGTGAGACACTGGGAAAGTACCCTTAAAACTCTCAATGTTTTTTGGGAAATCTGGAGAACCGAATATTTAACTAGCCTCAGAGAACGCACGCAAAGGGAAATTACCTCATCCAAAGGAGCACAAAAAAGAACTCCAAGAAAGGGAGAGATTGTACTCTTAAATGAATCGGGAATTCCAAGAGGAATGTGGAAATTATTACGGATCAAGGACATCAAAATCGATAAAGACGGTAAAGTTAGGAACGTTCAGGTGGAAACTCCCACTGGGAAACTTCTCGATCGTCCAATAAATGTCTTATATCCTCTCGAAGTTAATGATGAAGAAATTCATCTTGAACCTAATAAGAAAGAAAATATGAAATTTCCGGAAACCGAACAGAACACTGAGGAGCTCCAGGAACCTATTGCGATGCGAACTAGGAGCAATACAAAACGACAATCTCGATTAAAGGAGGACCAAACAACTATCACCGCACCATCATCAGAAACCTGTAGAGTTTACACGATCAAAAACAGATCAATGGAAGTAAACAACCCCCACTTTCTTATGAACACCACGCATTACCCACCTTTTCTGGTCGGGAGTGTCGTGAAAGACGAAATATTTCAATTATTATATCCAAAACTAACAAATTCCTCTTATCTATTCCTTTTCCTCACACAACAAACCCTTTGTTAGTAAACCCTTTGTTAGCAAAACCCTTTATTAGCAGTCTTTGTTTCACATCAGTTAAATATCCTCTGCCGGATATCTGGTCAGCTCAGTCATGCATATAAACCATCGTCCTCCATACGGTGGTTCATTCTGCATTTTGGGGTGGTTTTGATACCATTTTAATGTTTTATAATTATATCTTTCGTTACGCGTTTGTTAATCGGTGTAGCATCCGTACGATATGTATAAAGCGCTATTATTTGCTTCATGTTAAATAAAGGTTTAATTACCCAAGTTTGAGGTTTCACGACAAAGAATAATTTTTGGTGCCCGAGGTGAGGTATGTCGGCCAGTATAATTGTTCAAGCTACACCAGTAAAAGCGAATCTCGAGGGACTCCTCGATGAAATACAACAAATGGATCTAACTCCGTTAGACCAAAAAGCGACAGTAGAAGTATTGTGCCAGCAATATGAAGCAAGGGCAAGGATCATCAAAGAAAAGTTGATGCGCCTCGAAAAATACGTTGACACTCTTG